GAAACATTGCGCGCTCTACTTTACAGCGACTTGGCAGAATCAATAGGTCTCCACAAATGTCGACAAATACATTTCGGCATTTAAGGGAATTTCGTCACTTTGGGCGTGTGTGAATCGGTAACAAAGTTTGCGGCAAGTAAATTTTTGACAACTATGAGGTGAATAAAATTTCAGTAGCACATGAGGCTAGTGAAATTTTTGACAAATGCATAGAAAATTTTGACAATCGCAAAGACTGTTGCTGTGAGTAATTTTTCGTAAAACAAAAGCTTAAGTTGATGAAATGCAATCAGTGATGTTAGATGTGTTTAAAATATCAATTTCACTTCAATTTGTAATAGTTTATTCCGAATAAATCTGTGGTTATCAAAAATTTACTGCTGTCAAAAAAGATTTCATTTCACACAGCAGATTGGCAAAACTGTCTCACCATAGTAAAAACATTATTCAACAGCTTTCCCCATAGAACTTTGTTACCGATTCACACACGCCCTTTAGTCTACATTGAATTTCTGTAGACTGACAAACTTTTCTTAAAATTTAAAAAGTAAAAATTTCACTACTAAAAATTTAAAAATGTTCCTTAAACTTGCAAAGAAATTTCGAAAAGAAAGATCACTGTTTTTATTTTTAGGAGTAGGGTGGGAGTGTCATTGATAAAATTAGAGTGAGAAAGTTTGTCTTACAAAACCTTTCATTATTGAATCGTGGTTTTCTAAAGGTGTTCTTACAAGATATGTATTAAATTTGTTTCTGTACAAATCAGATGCACGTACTTACGAAATAGAAATGTTTCTATTTTCATCTGACACACAGATAGAATCATCTGAGTTTAGTTTATTTCGTTTTCATAGCATGAATTTTTAAATAGTTAAATAAAGACTGGGAATTTGACAGACATACGCAATTACATATGTATTGAAAAAGTCACATTTACAGACGCAAATACACATCGTGTAAGAACACCTTAAGTAACCTCCAATAGGCTTAAAGGCAGCATCCTACAGCGTGTTATCATGTTTCATTTAACAACTCAAATTTTGTAAAAAAAAGTACCATTATATTTCAACTTTAAAAAAATTCTGTTACAGTGTAGATATTCACAAATTTTTTTATGTATTGTACTAGCCTTTAGACGTAGATGCCATTTGGTTTTGTTGGATTTCCTTAACTCAAAGTACTTTTACACGTTTATAACGTTTCCCTTTGAATCTACCATAATGTTATGCTTGGGCGAAGACGACATTCCGACTGAAAATAAAGAGGAGACTTGGGGTACAGGCCGTTACTGTGAACGGTTTTCGTTTTTTAGAGATCTCTTTACCAACTTAATGATGAAAAAGTCCTATCTAGAAACTTTTTTTTTCCAATTTTGGCAACACTTTTGGATTTCGGCCGCACTGTGGGACAGGTCACACGGCCTTACAATCGAGGAGCCATTTTACGACCGCAATTCAATTCACTTCTGAGTGAATTTCAGCACCTGCCAATTTGAATTCAAAGCGAATTTGGCTCAAATTAACTTGGAACTGAATTACAAAACTCGCCGGAAAATCTTTAAAAGCCACAATACTGTGTGAGAATTGGGCCCCAATGTAACATTTATAAGCCTTTACGCGAACTCTGGCCCATTAAATCGAGTTTTTTTTGCGCATCGCTTCCATCATTTATTAATAAAGAACTGCAAAATTCAACATTTTCTGTAAAAATGTCATTTTCAAAAATATACATTGCTATGCCATGCCAACTCAAACAAGGTGTAATGCCATTTCATTCAATCTTAAACATACTGTTATAGCATGTCATTGCTCTTAGCTAAGCTGTTGTTCGCTGTTGTGTTTCTGCAGCATATTTTTAGTACTGTATGATCCTGCCTTGTATGAAAATATATATAGATTTTTAATTAGAGAATTGTTTAATGAGTTTTACTATAGTAGGAGCTTGCAAAATTTCTACCCGTATAAACAATGTAATTAATAATGCTGACTATGTCGCATGTGTTGACATGCATAGACTTGATACATGATTTGATTTAAATTTATTCGACAGGGGCTTCATATGTCATTGTCAAACATCTATGTGCGACATACCATGAACTGGCACTTCATGATGTGACACACGTCGCTATGTTTCGTAGTTCAATATTTGTAGGCCTTTATTTATTAAACCATCCTTTATTCGGCTGAATACAATAAAGCTGAGACATTACTTACTTAATAATATCTATGTAGTCTTTACAATTAAAAACATCAGAATAAGTTCAACTTGTAAACAAGGATAATCAGACATCAAATACCGTATCACCGGAATTGAATATTAATGTTGCCATTCATCCGAGTAGTGTTATCCCACTCAAAACCTAGACCTTCATACATATTTGAAGTTGCATACGAATAAGTTAATACAAGCTCATTTTTGAACGGTTTTAATTACATACATATAAATATGGTTGCCCTTCTTATGTTTAGATTTACTGTTTACTGACTGCTAACTTTTGTAAAACAGTCGAGGAAATCGAATAACAGCAGAAAAATGTGAATTAAACAAGCAATTGTTAAGCATAAAACCAAACCGGTTCCAATTCTCTTATAAAAATTTAAGAATGTCGTTAATTTCTTCATGATCCAATAATCGGATTTAAACCAAATTAGTATGGGACCACCTGTATGGTAACACCTTTCCTTTTAAAAAAGAATTATTGAAATCGGTTAACGTGGTCCAAAGCTATGGGGTAACATATGTACATAAAAAAAATATTCCGACGAATTGATAACCTTCTCCTTTTTGTGAAGTCGGTCAAAACGTGAAGTTAATTAAAAAAACTATAGAAGATATTACAATCAATGAAGTGCAAACAATACAACTAAATAAATAAGTAAAGTCACAAGTAATTTTTAAGCAAGAAACACAACCATCTTCAATGTTAATATACAAATTTAAGAGTACCGTCAATTTCTTCATGATCCTTCATGATCGGAACTAAACCAAATTTGTATTTGAATGATCGAACACGGTTCACGTTGCCAGTTAAAAATACAAATCTTCTTCTTCTTCTTTTTTGGCGCTGTAACCGCCTAAGCGATTTTGGCCGAGTTCAGCAAAGCACGCCAGTCGTTTCTCCTCTGTGCCAACTGACGCCAATTGGAAACGCCAAGTGAAGCCAAGTCCTTCTCCACCTGATCTTTCCATCGTAGTGGGGGCCTCCCTCTTCCTCTGCTACCACCAGCGGGTTCCGAGTTGAATTCTTTCAGAGCTGGAGCGTCGGTGTCCATTCGAACGACATGACCAAGCCAGCGGAGCCGCTGTATTTTAATTCGCTGCACTATGTCCATATCGTTGTAAAGCTCATACAGCTCATCGTTCCATCGTCTGCGGTACTCGCCGTCGCCAACGCGTAAAGGACCGTAAATCTTCCGCAAAATCTTTCTCTCAAACACCCCAAGAGCCGCCTCATCGGATGTTGTCATTGTCCATGCTTCTGCGCCATATACCAGCACGGGCATGATGAGTGACTTATAGAGCGTGGTTTTCGTACGTCGAGAGAGGACTTTACTCCTGAATTGCCTACTCAGTCCAAAGTAGCACTTGTTGGCAAGAGTGATTCTACGTTGGATTTCAATGCTGACATTATTATCGGTGTTAATGCTGGTTCCCAAGTAAACGAAATTCTCTACTTTCTCGAAATTGTAACTGTCAACAGTGACGTGGGTGCCAAGGCGCGAATGTGCTGACTGTTTGTTTGATGACAGGAGATACTTCGTCTTGTCCTCGTTTACCACCAGACCCATGCGCTTTGCCTCCCTATCCAACTTGGAAAAGGCAGAACAGACTTCGCGGTTTTTGTTACCGATGATGTCGATGTCATCGGCATAAGCCAGCAATTGCACGCTCTTGTAGTAAATTGTTCCTGAGCGGTTCAGTTCTGCAGCTCTTATTATCTTATCCAACATCAGATTAAAGAAGTCACATGAAAGGGAGTCGCCCTGTCTAAAACCCCGTTTTGTGGCGAACGGCTCGGAGAGGTCTTTTCCAATTCTGACGGAGCTGGTGGTATTGCTCAACGTCATTTTACACAGCCGTATGAGTTTTGAGGGGATGCCAAATTCAGACATAGCGGCGTATAGGCAACTCCTTTTAGTGCTGTCAAAAGCGGCTTTAAAGTCGACAAATAGGTGGTGAGTGTCGATCCTTTTCTCGCGGGTCTTTTCCAAGATTTGGCGTATTGTGAATACCTGGTCTATGGTGGATTTGCCAGGTCTAAAGCCACACTGATAAGGCCCAATCAGTTCATTGACGGTGGGCTTCAGTCTTTCACACAATACGCTCGATAAGACCTTGTAACCTATGCTTAGAAGGCTGATCCCGCGGTAGTTGGCGCGAATGGCGGGGTCACCTTTCTTGTGGATTGGGCAGAGCACACTTAAATTCCAGTCGTCGGGCATGCGTTCATCTGACCATATTCTGCACAAGAGTTGATGCATGCACCTTATCAACTCCTCGCCGCCGTACTTGAATAGCTCAGCTGGCAGGCTGTCAGCTCCAGCGGCTTTGTTGTTTTTCAGCCGCGTTATTGCTATACGTACCTCGTCATAGTCAGGCGGTGGAACGTCGACTCCGTCATCATCGACTGCGGGCTCGGGTTCTTCTTCTCCACAACTTTCTGTGCTGCTACCATTTAGTAGGGCGGAAAAGTGTTCCCTCCATAATTTAAGTACGCTCTGGACATCAGTTACTAGGTCGCCATTATTGTTCTTAAAATACAAATACGGCATACAAAATCGAGTAAACAAACAAAAATACGAAGTATAACCAGTCGTTTTAAGGAGCATTTATAAAGCTACCTTAGTACATACATAGCTCTATACTGCCATTAGTCGTATCTCTTAACTAAAAACTTAATTTGTAAAAACATGTACGAGTATTTTGTAGTGCATATTTCATGCGTTTTGATTATTTTGTAATAAAATGTACATATGTATTTTGAAACTTCTCAAGTTTAGGTTGACAAGGAAAAAATCGATGCCCGTGGCCGAACACCTTTGATGCTAGCCGTGAAATTATCACATTTGCAATGTGTAAAGTGCCTTTTAGCAGCAAAATGTAATGCCACCTATGAATACGAGGGATGGTCAAGTAAGGCGAACTAATATCTAAATATTTTCACACATTATTGTGTAGATTTACATAACGAAATGTATATATAGAAGAAAAATGCATATTTTCGATTTCCAGTTGTGCAAGAAGCCGTATGCTCCGGCGATGAGGATATACTGACTGCCATCATTGAAGTACGCGATTTGCAACGTCATGTTCAACGGGTAACACATGTTCCGAAATTATTACAACACCTTTTAGATGCACCTGATTTCTACATTGAAATGAAATGGGAGTTTACATCTTGGGGTAAACCATTTTTTATAATCATGAATTTACTATTGCATCTCAATATATAAAAAAAATATTTTTTTTACATATATACATACATATGTTTGTATGTATGTACATACATTGACCACGTAAAAAAATAAAAATCATGCAATGCGACCACCGTCGGACTCAGATTTTATAAAATAAAAGAAAATTAGTTATTCTCTTTTGAGGTCAATATAATTTACTAGGATTACTCAAAATTCTCGAAACTATAAGAATACATTGATTGCATGTCATTTAAGTTTTATGCATGCTCAGATTCCTTAGATTCCAAAAACAAATTTTTTCGTAATTACTAGATTTGACATGAATCTGATCATGTATAATACTTAAATGGAATGTAATCAATGTATTATTATAGTTTCGAGCGTTTTCATTAATCCTAGGAAATTATATTGACCTCAAAAGACAATAACAAATTTTCTAACGTGTAATTCGTATGGGAAAAATAAACACTCGATGCGCGACCTCTTGGAATTGCCGTAGTGAGGGGATATTCATTGAGGATCATTACTATAGCAAATACTAAAGTCTGATTCAGATAGCGGTCGCATTGAAGGATTTTTATTTTTTGACGTGGTCTAATGTACATATATTACAGTACCCCTCATGTCTCGTCTTTGTCCGAGCGACACCTACAAAGTTTATAAACGTGGAGCGAATGTGAGAATAGATACCACATTATTAGGGTTTCATAACAACTCCTGGCAACGAGGCAATCGCTCTTATATCTTTAAAGGCGCAAGTAAGAGAAACGAGCCGATAACATTACCTTTCTTCTTTACTTATTTAATAAAATTTATTTCAGAGGACTCTGCAACGATGATTGAGATCGATCATGACACTCACGAAGTGATTGAAGAACAAATGAATAGCGAAATCGGAGATATAGTCGCAATACCGCCTCCAATTGGTGCTGTGCGCGGCCGCCTCAATGCACCCGTCATTACTAACAATATAGAAATGGAAAAAATCAGTTTTGAGCGGAATAAATCGGGAATTTGGGGTTGGCGCAGCGAAAAGTCAGAGATGGTGAATGGATACAATTGCAAAGTTTATGGCGCCAGCAACGTTGAGTTTATAACGCGCACCCGAATGGATCACCTAAATGAAGATCAAATTAAGGTACTCTAAATTTTATTAAAAAACATCGCTGAGAAAACATTTTATGAAAAATATTTTCTAAATTCAATGTGACCAGAATAAATGTGCGAGGACACCATTGCATAGCTTTTTAGGGATCGCTGACGACGATTTAACAAATTCTCACACTAATGAAGGAATAATTGCCAAAGATCGGGTAAGAAGTGTTACAAAAGATAAGCTTAAATGCATGTTTGCTCGTTAGTTTAATCGGAGAAAATATATACTCGATTCACATATAAATTACATATATATGTCAGACGCCGTCTCCATCTATTGGGAGTCCATTACTAGATCAAAGCCCTGAAAATAGCACACCCGAAGAAAATGCCAGTATCAGCTCAGGCACAACGCCACCAAAACACGCCATTACGGCAGAGGAGTATTTTTCTCCCAATGTCGATTTGAATGGACGTGACATTGGACGACCAAAGAAAGTCACTACCAAGGTATCTATCAAAATGTATTACTGTTGATTGCTGCTTAAAGACCAATTATTTAACATTAAACGGAGCAGCTAATTGAGAAGTTATAATTAAGTATATATTTTAGATTCAGAGATTTAAGGCTAATCTATGGCTCTCCGAAGAGTATCCTATGCGACTGCAAGAACAAGTTCTTCCTATACTTGACTTAATGTCTACTATGGCAAGTCCACACGTATCTAAACTGAAAGATTTCATTACCATGCAGCTGCCCTCTGGTTTTCCAGTGAAAATTGAAATCCCACTCTTCCATGTTTTAAATGCATGCATCACGTTTGGAAATGTATTCGGCATGACGGCTCCCGTTGAGAATGTAACCACAATTAATGAAGACGATCGCATAACTTGCCTTGTCGACGACCATTGTTTCGATATACCGAGCCATTACGTCAACAGAGGTACACAAATTAATAAAATTCGCATTCGTTTTTGTTGTTCAGAGAATTTATTTTCGCTTTTCAGATGCGGACACTCTTCGTCAAATGCCTTTGGATGAAGACGATATGTTGCAATATGCAATTGAACAAAGTTTAGTGGAAACGACCTCCGGGGCTTCTGCTTCAAATACAGCTGAGGACACCGATAAAGTGGATATATGGGAGGCATTGCGTGGTCAAGGGGTAGATGGAATTCCAGAGGAAGACGAACAGTTGCAGAGGTATCATTATGCATATATTTATATATGAACTTTAAATTAAATACTTTATGCTTATGTTTCTATTTAAAAAAATGTGTACTAACCCTTCTCCCATGCTTCGCCAAATGAATTCGATATGTAGACTTCATGTTCCCACTAAAGCACATTATTGTAACCGTAGCTCCCCAAATCGACGTATAGCTAGTAATTGCGCGCTCAGTAAAATAAATTCCAATCATTCCCAAATTCGTCACGCACTGTTAAGTAGTGAAAAAGCTTGCGGTTCTTTACCGGCATCGTCAATAACCAATTCAACAGTGCAGGGCGATCATTACACTTCCGCACCAGAAAATCAATTTAAAACCGATATCGCTTACATGAAAAAAATTTTTAAATAGTTGATGAGACAATAAACATTTCATTCCCTCTAACCTAGTCAGTGGCAATTAGTACAAAATAAAGAGATATCTATACAACTTAACTATCGGCACATTTATTTAGACGAACGCGTCGATATCGTTTCGAAACTTATCCAAATGTCCTAAATCGGTATTGATTTGAGTGATTCACCAGACGCGCATTGATTTTTTGTTCACGTTCTGTTCTTATAATACATATTCGAATATTCTTTAAAAAATTTAAATGTGATACGGATGGATTCCAAAATTGTGAATTTATGAAATGTTATTTTTCGCCATTCTTACCTTTAGAACATAATGTTAATTTTCAATGCGCATACATAGAAAGTTAAGGGGATGCAAAGTTGGTTTAGCTGCTACCCGCACCGAGATTAGTTGTTTCAATGCGCAAACATTAGGTGAACCATATTAACGTCTTATTGGCCATTAATTTTGATGGGAATATTGTTGAAGATATAAAATTGCCACACAAAAATACTTTAGAGAAATAATTATGTAAATTAGTAGAGATTATGTGATGTAAAACCAAAACTTATTGATTTAAAAAGGATCAGTTCAGGGCCTTCGTCTTGACCTGCGGGCTTTGTCGGAGTCACAGCCGCCTAACTTAAGCGTAGAATACGTGATATTATTAAGTCAAGTTAAAAACGGTACATGAAATATTCACTTTGATTGTATTGAATTTAATAAATCAAAATTAATTGCAAAATATTAATAATTAGCAATAGATAAGCAGTTCCACATTAACTTCAATCATATATAGATATATATTATAAATAGATATATGCCATGACGTGTATCACTACTTCGATTCATTTTTATTTCCTTTCACACTGCAGATATATATAGAGGTATTTACATACATACATACATACATAGAGGTATTTACATACATACATACGCTGCGATTAGGTTATAAATATTGCGCCATCTCTTACTCAAAAGCCGAAATACCTACACACATGCCTTTTCTCTCCTTCTCTCAATTCCAGCGCAAGCACGTGTTTACAAAATGATAACGAAGTGATTTTTTATGGAAAATCACGTATGACCACATATTTAAATAAATAAACATACTTAGAAGATATCAACCAATACTTCCCATATAACAAACGAAAGGAAAAAACTTAAATTTTTGATTGAAGAAAACAAAAACAAAAACAAAATCATTCAAGCGGTTTTCAAGCATTTTGGTAATAAGAAAAATTGGTTAATTTTTTCAAAAATTTGTTGCCTTAAAGTGCTCAATATTTGTTAAATTTATATAAAACTGGCACCTGATAAGATTTTTATTGCTACAAAGAACCTACATACATCCCGAAAATGAAAATTATATCTGCAAATCATAAGCTGCTAGAGCACTTTAAAGGCTCCCCAAAATAAGTCAATATTTACCGTTGTTTCTACGACAGAAACCGAATTGGTTACTTACAAAAATGAATCTGTCGATAGGTTTGGAATTTTATCTTTGAAACGCCACACTTTTCTTTGAAATCTCTTCTTTAGTTCCCGTGCAATAAGCGTTTTCGAGAAGCTCTAAAAATTACAACTACAACATTTGATCATAGCCCCCATATCGAAAAGTAAGACGTATCTACGTCAAAAATATTTCTCAATCAAAATTATTATGAAAAGACTTTTCCAATTTAGAATAAAAGTAGGGACGTGCCGGGTAACTGGATTCCGGATACCATGTAAAAAATAAGAGCCGGATTCGGATACCCGAACCTTAATAAATTTCACAATATTATATTCATTTTTTTTTTTGTTTAGCGACATACTTATGAGTTATAGAGTTAAGTTATAAAATAATCCTCCATTAAAAAGATATGCAACCCTGGGCTCGAATCGTAACATACGTCGTCGCTAAAAACACATTCTTCAGCGCCGCTTGGACCTTCTGCCTCCATTGGAGTCACTGCATCCACAGTCGGCCTCAGTGAATCCTATAAGTTTTTTGTATTTCGCCGCATTGGCCTCAAATTTTTTCTTTTCTATCCACCAAGAGTTAGAAAACGTGTTTTTGTATTATTTTTTTTTTTTTGATATTACAAATTAAATTCACTGAGCTCAGACAATTCTTCTAATTTTTCAACGGAGTCTGAATTTTCGTCGCTAAAAACAAATTCCTCAGAGCCGCTTGGACCTTCTGCCTCCATTGGAGTCACTACCTCCACAGTCGGCCTTGGTGAATCCTGCGAGTTTTTTGTATTTCGACGCATTGGCCGCACATTTTTGCTTTTCTATCCATATAGAGGTAGAAAAAGTTTTCTTGTAATTTTTTTTTATATTACAAATTAAATTCACTGAATTTTCTTTTCTTTTTCTTTTACATTCACCCACTTTTTATATGTTTTGCACCACAGCTAACAATGAAGTTAAATTGTCTTTGATGTATGTATGTCTGCGCAAAATTATAGTATGATACAAAAACCAAATTTTACTGGAAAGTGTTTTTTGTACTTTTCTCTGCTTTGGCTAGCACCATCAATACCAAAGTTTAGATTTGCTGGGATAATTGAGAAATATAACTAAACGCAAGATTTTTTTTTTTGTAGAATGTGTTGACACCGTTCTAATTTCTTAGCACATATGATAATTTCGCCCACAAGAAAAAATTCATTGTCACATACGATAAAATTTA